CCAATTATTAAAACGGAGTTAAATAGGATCAGTAAGCATATTAAGCTTGAAATGCATAAATTAAAGTGTGAGGCTTGGAATGTTAAAATGGAGGAGTTAAACTTAGACAGTGATGCCTTCTGGCAGTTTACAAAAATGTTAAAGAGGACGCATCAGTGTGATAGGCCAATTATTGCAACGGCGTGACTGCTTATTCAGATACTGACAAATGTCAGATTTTTGCTTCACATCTTGAAAAGCAGTTTTCTCCCAATCAGACACCTCGTAATATTCACTTTGAGACCCAAGTCAGAATGAAAGTAGAAGAATGGCTAGGTGCTCCCACGGCTCTAAATGCCGATGGTTTAACTAATCCAAGAGAAGTTACGGATATTATCTCCAAATTGAACCCCAAGAAAGCCCCAGGTATTGATGGAGTTACAAATTTAATGATCAGGAACCTCCCGCGCGGTGGAATCACAAGACTTTCCAGCATTTTTAATATATGCATTACGTTATGCTACTTCCCGGACTGCTGGAAGTACGCAAAAGTTTTCCTACTACCGAAGCCTGCAAAAGACATCACTAAGGCGGAGAAATCACAGGCCCATAAGCTTGCTCTCTAATATAGGCAAGATCTTTGAACGAATAATTTTAAGGAAATTCCAGCCTTATTTACAGGTACTTCCGGAAGATCAGTACGGATTTAGGAGCGAACTTTGCACATCTAAACAACTGATTAGGCTTGTGGAATTTATCGGCTCTGCTCTGCATCATAAGAGTTGTACTGCAGTGCTCATGCTGGACGTGGCCAAAGCATTTGACCGTGTCTGGCATGAGGGCTTAATATATAAATTGATAATGATGAATTTGCCTAGAGAACTGATCTTACTCACCAGATCTTATATTGCAAATCGTTACTTTACAGTTAGCTGCAAGCAAAGTCATTCTGGATACAAAACTATCGCTGCAGGCGTCCCCCAGGGGTCCTGTCTTGGCCCAGTACTCTATCTTTTCTATGCGGCTGATTTCCCGCGGGATAAACTCAACAGAATAATACATTGCTGGCCTGCTATGCGGATGACACCGCTGTAGCGGTCAGATCTATTCAGCCTAACAGGGCAATTTCTGTTATGCAGGATATAATTATGGACATTGAGGAGTGGTGCTCCAGGTGGAAGATTTCCATCAATGCGACTAAATCACAGCTACTTCTTGTTAGAAGGAAGAAAATACTGGTCTCAGTTCAGCCACTTTACCTATTCGGCCAACGTGTCCCGATGGTAAACAAGGCCAAGTATTTAGGTGTTTACTTGAATCGAAGACTCACGTGGAGTACGCATGTCAATTACATTGCAAACAAGACCAGAGGAATTGCTCAACAATTACAAGTACTGCTAGGACGCAGCTCGCAGTTAGATCTGAGAAGGAAAAGGCAGATTTCTATTTCTATTTTACGACCAATTATGCGTTATGCGTCCCCTGTCTGGGCGACTGCTACGAGCTCAAATATCAATAAATTGCAGATGACTCAAAACACAATCTTACGCACCATTACAGGAGCGCATTTTTACATCCGTAACAAACTGCTGCACGATGATGATGCTACTTATTAATTTCACAAAGACTAGAAATGCTGCAAGGAAAACCTAGCATAATATAATATGCATTTTTATTCAAATAGAAAATGTTTCATATAATTAGGTCTTTATGCAATCAAGAAATTCGGAATCAGTTTTGCGTAACAACATGAGACACTAGTGCAAGAACTAGTTTAATGATTGTCCACCCGACGGGCGATCCGTTTGGGATCCTTCTCAGTGCATTAAAAAATCTATAATATCAAAAGTCATCAGCAAACCCTTGCGAACGCAGGGGTTACGTCGTTAATATACTGAGTATACGCCAAAATTGCGTTTCGTAAAGTTAATTTTTTATGGAAAAAATATGTGAAGTATAGTTAAGAAAAGGAAAGCATGCATAATTTGAAGCAAACAAATTATTCTTATAATTAAAAGAAAACCACTAAACAAACGTAAATTGAAAGAAATTTTATTATTTCTTAATAAATAGGTAATATGATTATTTTTTAAAAAAGGTGGTCATGTTTTCATGGGGCAATATCTAATGCAACTTTAAAAGTGTTTTAATATCATACATATTCACATTTTATCAAAAACTTCTGTTAAAAAATAATGAAATTCATTAAAACATTTGTAGTACGATATATATAATTCAGACAGAGGAGAAGAATTTTTTAAAGTAAACAAGTTAATATTAGGCATTTACAAAATGTTTCAGTTAATTTTTCACTAGTCAAACATGTGCGGAAATTCGAATTATCTCATGGCAGCTGCTCATTTATATCAGCTACAAGATAAATTCTTTCTTATGTTAACTAACTGCAATTTAATTAATATCCCTTGCTTTTAATAATCCCCTTTTAAAAATTAAAACTAGATCATGTTCAAGAAATGAATTTAAAATGAAATGTAATGCACATAAAAATTAGAAAAAGAAAAATACAGTGAAGTTTATGCAAGATGATTTAGAAATGTTAATTATGCTTAATGCACTTGCTTCCATTTTGCATACTTCCACAGTTGACAGGGAAATGCAGTTAATTTGGCAATTCATTCCATATGCGTGTGCACATACATATATGTAAGAAATAACAAAATACAACAGCTGCTTTAAAAATCATTGGCAACCTTAAATTAACTATTCTAGATTTGGTGTTCTCCCTCCTAAATTCATCTGTTCTCCCAAATTACATAACACTGCTTGAGAAAGGTAACTAAAACTAATATTGACCAATCATAGTTTAGAATACTTTCTGCACCTATGCAGTATAAATACGGTTTTGCGAGGAACTACATTCCCTAAAGAAGTACAGTACATCATTAAGAATCTCAAGATCAGAAAAGCACAAGGATATGATTCAATCTCCAATAAATCTATCAGAGAACTTTCCTAGCATTACATTGTATTATTAAAAAATCTCTTTAATGCCTGCCTTCATTTTAATTATTTCCCACATCAATGGATGCATGCTGTAGTCATAAACTTCCTTATCCAAAAGGAATGACCAGTTACCACCCAATAAGCCTGCTTCCCTGCACTGGCATGAAAAAAATTATTTAAGTTCAACTAATTAATCACCTAGAAAAGAATAATATCGTCGACTCTGAACAATATGGATTTTGCTAAGGACAGAGTACCACAGACGAGCTCATTAATGCAACTGAATTTATTGCTGACACTTTTATTAAGAAAAATGCTGTTGCTGCATGCTTTTTAGACATAGTAAAGGCATTTGACAGAGTATGGCATGCCGACCTTCTCTTAAAAATGCAAAAAGCACTTCTCCCTATCAATCTCAAGAATTAATATACTCCTATTTAAAAAAATCGCACGTTTCAAGTTTAAATTGGAAAATCTCCCTCAAATATAGAAAGATCATTAAAAGTGCTATCCCTCAAGGAAGCATTTTAGCACTGATTATATTTAACATCTTTATAAATGATATGCCACAGCCATTAAATCCAAAAATCGCTAAATATGCTGATGATACTGCCGTTCTTACGAAGTCTTTAAAACTGCAACTCGCTATTGACAAACTAAAGTTAGCAGTTAACAACACTGATCATTGGTTCAAGATTTGGAGAATTAAATTAAACCCAAATAAGTGTAACATCACTATTTTTAGAAGTTATAAAAAGAATAATCCTGTTGACATTGATATTCAAATTAATGATGTACAAATACCAGTTAATGCTCCATTAAATACCTAGGCATGTTCTTTGACAAACAACTATTGTTTAAAGAACAAACTATGAAAAGTTTATGCAGGTGTTATTGCCCTTTAGCCTCTCCTATGAATAAACTCGAAACTTCACATAAGAACAAAACGCATGCTATATCTCAATATGATTCCACCCATTTTACTATATGGTATTCCTGCCTGGAACACCATTGCTGAGACCTAGAGTAAAAAATTAGAAGTTTTTCAAAATAAATTACTAAAGATGATTTTAAATGCCCCGTAGTATGTTCGGAACAAGCAGATACTTAAAGAAATGAAGACTGATTCCATGCATGACGAAATACTTTCTACTTGCCATAATTTTTTCCAGAAAATGCAAGATTCAGAATACCACCATATAAGAGAACTTGTAAACTATGATCCAATTATTGAACATACTGTCAAAAGGCCAAGAACCATTCATCACAATTCAAAATGATAAATTTTTAATTGCTTCTCGAGCTTAAATTTTCAAATTACCCTTCTTTTAGTCACTACTAGTGGCAGCACTTGTCTATGAATTCACCTTTTTGGTGTGAGCACTACTGTGTTCTTAAATGTTAGCCAGTGCCCTTGGGCAAAAACTTCAAATCTAGGTAAAAGCATATTTCAAATGCCTATTATATTCTGATGAACAATGACCAATGACTACGTTCCTTTTTTACTAGCATTTTTACTTCAATAACTTTTTTACTTCAATTCAGTTTTGTGAATGTCTTATTCCTGCCTTTTCCACCCAGCCATGTCTACAATCAGAAGTTAAAGTATCGTATTTATGACTGTGCACTTAAAATATTACATATATACCATATATATATGTGGGTGAAAGTAAATGAGTATGTATATACTAATAACTCATTCAAAAAGAATTTGCTGATTTTAATGTTTATGTACAATTTGAAGATTATTAATTTGATATATTAAAAGATCAGAATAGACTAAATTGGTTTCGACAAGCAATGTCGACTATCTTAAAGACTGCTAGTTTACTATCAGACATGAGTTGAAAATTGTTTCTTAGATCTCTGTAATTTTTCATATAAACTTTGTACTAAAAATTATACTAAAGAACTTGGAAAAATAATAACCCATTTTATAATTAAGATTTAAAAATCATATTAATTGTATTTTACTTCAAAATTTGGAAATGTGTATTTGAATGTGAAAAGAAAATAATATATTTTAAAAGTACAATTAATTCTTCAGCTGTTTTTCATGATTTATTTATAATTTGTTTATTTAGTCACAAAAATGTTAAAGATTAAAATTACAGATACACACATAAAAAATATTCAAATCACTATTACAAATGCAAAACAGTTTAAAATAAATACAAAATGTTGCAGCACATTTGGTAAGTACAGACCGAAAGGAAGAATTTACGTTTATGTAGCTGTATACAAAGCCAAAATCATAGTATAAAATTTAACTATGTATGAACCAAGAAATTTACAGTGACATAAAAATTACATGAAATACGAATTTAAAAGTAACAAATCTAAATAAAAACTCTGTCTTCAATAAAATAAAAGTAAATATTTTTTCTATAAATCATTCATATACATAATAAATCTATAATATTATCTTATATACAAATATTATAAAATAAGAAGTTTCACAAAATCCATGCTGATATATTCTAAATACATACAATTAAAATATCACTATAGTGTAAATGTTTTTTCCTAGATTATAAAATTATATCAATTCTATAAAATAAGGAATAAAACTGCAATCTACAAACATATCACAAAGCTGTAAAATGAGGTATTTATATCTTACTAAAATCTAACAGCCATTTTCTAGACATTAAAACCTGTTAGTTTTATGAAAAATAACACTATTAATAAAATTATCACAACACATATTTGAGAAGAGCATGAGACAATTTTTAAAATATCTTCCGAAGCAACCAATCACATCAGATAACTGAAAAATTTCTTACTTCAAAGAATAACATTTTAATAATTACAAACTGAAATTAATGACAGAAGCATTATTCTGAAACATGAAAAGCTGAACAGATATTAATTGTGACCACTAGATAACCTGGTAAAAATCTGTCATAAAATTAGTACTTAATTTAAAAGAAAAGCAAAGTCCCTCTGTATCAAAATTTTCATTCTCCATATTAAACAAATGTAGCTATCACTGATCACTCAAATTCTCTTTGCATATTTAAATTGTTACAATTTTAAAATATTCAGTGATACCACATTGATAATCAACATTTATATAAAAGCAAAACATTGCTAAGTAAAATTTTCTTTATTGACAAAGGAAACTATAAACTTCCAAATATTTTCATTTCCAAAGCCAAAATGTGCTTCTGTACTTATACTACATTTCATGGAAGTACATTTTTTGAAGAACACATCTCAGATTCTTTAATTTGATTGTTAGCTACATAGGAATTCAATTCCCACAGTTAAGAAGTTAAAAAATTCTATGTATATTTGATACAACATGGAAGCCCTATAAGGAATAACAACTGTGTGTGTTAGTTGAATAAGAAAAAATTAAACTTCCATAATAATATAATAATTCATTCCATTATATATAAACTCAAGCTGTAATAAAGAAATTTCTTACATTGCACCAGATAAACAAAGAAGTTTCACTAATCTTACCTGACATACACATTCTTTTCAATATTCTAAAACCAAACTAGTATTGATATCTCTAGATAGTGAATGCAGGAAAATTTGTAGCATATTCTGCTGAAAACACTTGCCTTCAGCTACCTTCCATGGTAAATATTTTTAACCACGTATATTATTTAATATATATGCAAGATAAAAAATATGAAAGCAAACTACTAACTTTAATTTTGAATTAATCCCTTTATTCTTCATTTTAATTTGGGTATTTCCTCTTTCTATCTTAAAAATAGCAACTATTTATAGTATGTCTATCTACACAATTTCAAACTAAATCGTCATTATACTATCTAATGTAACACTGCAGAACAAATGCTATTTAACCAATCAGATTAGAGATTTCAATTAAGAACTGAAACTTCTTCATGTGTAATCACTTTTTCACTTGCATCATTCTTACTAAAACGAATGTAGCTCGCTTCTCTGCAGCATCCATTGTATGAAGATGTGCTAAGCTAATAAGAATGCGGGGTGCATATTTTACTGTGAATAAGATTTTATGCATCTTTATCCAATAATAAAATTATATTCTACAGCTTTCTACAGAAGTCATCCTTTTATCTATGCAGTAAAGATTTACCAAGTTATTAAAATGTAATAAACCTTTTCAATCCATTGCAGCTTTTGCAAAGACACACACACACACATATATATTATTATTATTATTAGAAAAGGTTTTTCATATATCATCTCCAAGGAAGAGAAATTTAGACACAAACATACATACACATACAGAACCACTTTCAAAAAAAGATAATTTGCCTTAAAGGCAAATTGTAAACAAAACTGTAATATTCACATCCGATCATACTTAATAAAGATACCACAGAAAATACTCACTAAATATTTATCCGTAACATTAAATTATACTAGTAATCAAGACATAATATAAACCCATTTTTTAACATTAATATAAGTGCATACAATGTGAATTTTGAATTACATTTAGCTTGAAAGTAAAAGTAAATGATAACATTAGGAAATAAAATCATAGATAAGAATCAATAAGTTTTTAACTGCTGTGAGTTTCCTATTTATATGCTGAGAACTGTGAATTCTGCAATGACTACAAAAGCATATCAATCCATTAATTAAAAAAATGCATGACATTATTTTCTTATCCTCTCGGCTGTTCAGATTGAGACTTTAGATGAAATTATAAAATGAAGCTTGCATTCAAGGAAAATCACATCAATCTGAAGAAAATTAACATGTTCACTACCAATATAAAAAAGCACCATATTACACAAACCTATAGTAAATGTTTATATAGTAATACCAAATGCTAAATATGAGCATTCAGGGTTAATATAATCAAAAATATGATTTTAATATTATTTTAATACCTTCAATATTCTTTAAAGAACAATTCAGAACCTAAGACAACAAGTCACAAATATGAGTCTTAGTTTCTTGCAGATCACTATATCAAGTGCAGTTGGTATGGATTTCATCAAAAGATTATATAGGGATTATGCTTTTGTCATTGTCCTACATATGAGTTGTTGTTCTGTTTGAAAAAACCCTTATATAAGCTGGTCAGTAGAGAATGCGTTAAAGAAAATTATATGATATTTACTCAAAAAAGCAGGATTTCAGGTATCTTTCTGAAAAGCTGCAGCAATAATAAATTCAGCATATAACTATGACAAAAATACGATTTTTAAAGCAGATAAAATAGAACTGTAGTTTGGTAAAGTATTCAAAGGTTTCTACAGTCAGCATCTCACCCCTCCAAAAAAATATAAAATTGGATTTAAACCTGTGGATTAAAACCATGAAAATTACATCCTTTCTCAGATGACAATTTGCAATTCCAGATGAGAAGTACATGGATAAAACATCTCCACAGAATTACTTCTGTAAAGCTGCTCTTTTTAGAGAAATAATGTTTAATACTAATATTTGTTCATACTTCAGAAATTAATCAGGTTCAGAGACATACTTAGAAAAAAAGCCATCATAAAATTTCTCTGTATACCATTAGATAAAATATTTAATTCTATAAATATGAACAATAAAAATATAATTTTTTATCTTGTTAGAAAAACAAATGCAGAATTCAGTTAAACAGTCTGCAAAGAAATAAGTTGTGGAAAATTAAAAAACTATCATTTCAACTGAAGTTTTAAACTGAAAGAAATAAAATCTTTATTTCGTAGAAAATTAAATTTGCTAAAAATAGTTTTTAAGAGAGATTTATCTGTAGTCTCATATGATCCAAGCTTCAAACTGCAGCCTATGGCAAACATAAAATAGTGGAAATGAAGTGACCTTTTTCTTATTGATGTTGCTATACGTTTTGTGAAATAGCTGAGTACAGAAACATGAAAAATTATTTAAAACTGAACGACACATTCCAATTTGGATACAAAGGGAATTCACGAGGAAATATTGAAAATGTGCAATATTTTTTTATGCCAAAATAAAGTTTACAGTGATTTTCAATTATATTAATATAAAGACCTTTTTGGAGAATGAAGAAATTAAACTTTTTTTGGGGTGGGGGGAGGAGGGAATCATTATATTAGTACTTATTCATTTCATTTATTAAACACATATCATGAGCTGCATCAAAAAGATACACAATTAAGAAACATTAAGATATTTGTTACAAGCATTTTCTTATAATATTTTATGAGATTTATTACATTTTTCATATCTTGCCTAATCAAATTATTTATTCAAATTCAAAAGAGAATTTGAACTATTCTTGTATTGAATTTACCCTCTTTACTTACAAAAAAAAAAAAAAAAAATTCTGAAAATATTTGAAGTTGCACATTAACAGTGCTGAAAGAATTAAAATGTTTCATAATGCAACATTCATTATATAAATATTTTTAAATATATGCATTAAGTACTAAGATTTACTAAAATATTAAGGCACTATAATATTTCTTTGTACACTATATTGCAAACATCTGCAAAAGAGAATTTTTATACAGTGCTTGGATATATAATAGAATTTTTTTGATAACTAAAGAGATGGAAAAACATAATTGTATTTTAATGTAATCTGTACTTTCAATAATATACCATAGTTATAACAAATATTATTTCATCTGCAAATAAGAGGTACAACAAGTTAAGATTATTTCTCATTATGAAAAATTAACAAAAATTATATAGGTAAAATTATCATTTACAGAAAATTTTTATTGTTCAATAAAATAAACTTTAATAGATTTTATTTCTTTTTGCTTAACAGAAATCTTTGCTGACAAAATTCAGCAATTTTTTATGTAAATATTAGATTCTTAAAATGTTTTTACTTACAAATGCAATGACTGCAAATTATGATTCATATTTACCTCAAAACTGACTTGAAATATTATGATTATTAGAAAAAGCATATATTTACACGTTATCATTTTTGAATTAAGCTTCAGTGGTAATATTTTTAATTATAATTCTTTTCATTACAAGTATTACAAAAATTATTTAATTAGAATATATTTACATTCAGTCATTTGGAAATAAATAATCAAAGATAATACATTTAGTATTACATACAGTTCTTATCATTGGGTATTATTCAATGCTACAAATTAAATTTGTTCTGAATATATGTGACAAATGGATACCCTGCAATATGAAATGCAAGAACTAGGTTTTTTTCCATGATTAGAATATGTATATATATATATATATATAATATTCATAGTGATTCAAAAATATTTGTTAGAAATGTAACAGCAAGTAAAGGGAACCAAAATAAGCAGATTTTGTAATGGAATGCATTTGCTGAAATGGTGCATTGAGATGGTATAGGGCATTGTTGAGTGGTACATAAAAGAGTTCTGCTGATGTAAATTGCCATTCCCCATCAGGATATCAAGCAGTATGCATCGTTACATGACGGCAGAGCTTGCCAGCATACATTTTATCTATGGAGCTATGGCTAAAATGGAATAGCTACTCAAAGGAGGTAAAGAGAACAATTCCTGAGGGCATCCTTTGAGCAGGTGCTCTGTTACCATCTGCATCCTCACAGATAAAATGCATATGAGTGAGCTCCATGTTCCTGTAGCAATGCATATTGCTTGAAATTTTCTGGGGGAGACTACAATCTACATTGACAGAATTCTTTTACCTACTCTTCAACAATACAATATACCACTTCAATATGCCATTTCGAGACACACATTCCATTACAAAATTTACTTACTTCGGTTCTTGTATCTGCCTTTACAGATATTTTTTTTATCACCTTAGATATAATATGCAAATTAAAAAAAAAAATGCTTTCTTCCCAAATAAAATTGTTTAGCAATTAATATATCCAACATGCAAACTAAAAAGGGACTGTAAATATTACATATTCTTATTAATGAACATTACTGAAACATTAACTGAGGGAAAAAACTATACACAAATATTTCATTTCTTTTTTTTTTCCGAATTAAAATAACAAACTTTATTACTAAAACTAAAATTAAAATAAAGGGAAGAAGCATACAGATCAGTGGTTCCCAAACATTTCTTTTCCCTCTTGTTAAATTTTGTCTTCGGTGTACAACTGCAATACAGCTAAATATAATTTTCTTCTACAGAGGTACACTGTGAAAGAAAAAAATGGGACAGTTCTCCCATTCTACTGGCCCAATTGACAAAATTCAACTTGCTTTTTCATGTCTCGAAAGCATGACTAAGGATATGTATTAGATTTATATAAGCATTGGTCTAATATACATATTTTTACACAACATCAGATTTTTCCTGAAATGATATGCCAATTTTTTTCATATTCAGATTCTACAATTATGCCAAACTGCCAAGTTTTGTAAAAATCGCCTGAGTAGTTTTTAAAGAATTAGTTCTCAAAATTTTAGCTTCATGTTAATTGAATTTGATATATATTTATTAATATCTCTTTTTTTTTATTAAACTTAGTTAATTCCTTCTTCCAGAATTCGAAATTTAGGTTCCTTCCAAATAAAAGTTGCTCATTTTTTATGATTTTTCTTAAAATTTGTATTTTTAACTAAATTTTATAATTTTTTCGAAAAATATTTTGAATTATAACCTATAAAATTTTTGCTATCATCTTAAAGTAGATGTACTCCTAAGCACACATGGAAAAAATATAGTTTTTATCCAAAATTTCCTAAGATTTATGTGAATTTACACATTGGGGTGTTTTGAAATTTGATTTATTCGTTATAAGCGATAATAACCCCAAATGTGGTTTAGACACTTTGTTATAATTGTTTGAAAACATGAAAAATGACTTTTTTCCTGCACGTGTACAATGAAAAAAGGGAAAGAAAAATAAGTTGCTACAAATTAAGAAGTTCGCCAAGTGAATTATTCTTGGCACAAACTGAAAAAAATACACCAAGATAAATTTTTAAATTTCTCACCAAACATTACAAAATTTAATCTACGCATAATTTGAGTCACAGAACCGAAATATAAAAAAAATTGGATGTCATTTCAGAAAAAGTCCGATTTTGTGTCAAAATACCTATACTAGAACAATGCTATGCTTTCGAGACTGAAAAATGCAATTTGAATTTCATCAATCGGCCCAGTAGAACGGGAGATATAGAACTGTCCCCCCTTTTTTCTTTGCGCAATGTCGTTCAGAAAAAGTTTGGCTACGAAAGCGCCTTGAATTGTCCACATTATTTCCTTGAGAGTAAAAGAAAATCAACAGATAGGCTAATAAATGTCTTCCAGAAACAATGGTTTGCATACTATCAGTTAGCCATTCCTCCTGAGCTAACACATACACATTGATGATTTATTTCTACAAACAAGAGGACTAAACACCATTTATGAAAATATTCAAATATTTTGCAGTACCTATATAAATCACCTATGATACACTAAGGCACCATGGTAAACAGTTTGGAAGCCACTGATATTTATTACTCAGATAATTGTAATAATTTTATGACTATAAATTTAATTTCATTATTAGAATTTTACTCGTTAATTTTTTGATGCAGAAAATCGCATACAGATGAAAAAGTTAATAACTCTTAAACTAAAGTACATAATACATGATATTAGAAAATATATTTTTTAAAATTACACTAGTGATATAAATGTTAACAGTTTTTTCTGAAAACTAAATACAGTCAAAAGTCGTTAATCCGGACTCGTCGGGACTTCGGCGATTCCGGATTATAGATCATCAGTTTAAATCTCATAAGATTGCATGCAGAAATTCTAAAATTAAAAATAT